TAGTTCCTGTAACAACTGAACACGTTATCCGTTTTAGATGAGGGCTCTTAGAATAACTCCATAAATATACAATATTTCTTACCTCAATTACTTCAATAGTCCAGAGTGAAACAACAGTATGTCCTATGTATGTCCATGCATGGTGCTTACCTTTACAATATGCCAGTTCATTATAACAGAATTTTAAGAAAGAGTAGGATTCAAAGTGGCATCCTAGAATGCCAGCAATTACAAAAACTGAAATCATACCCTTAAAGACTCAGAAAAAAATATATTGGAAAAGCATAGCGGGATGGGATAGGAAAAAAGATTTTTAAATCAGTAAAACAACACACAAAAAAAAACAAACATGACCCATTTGTTTTATAAATAGAAAATTTAATACCTTTCTCTCTCAAGCGTGAAAGAAACCTGTCTAGAATCACACAACTGGTTCGTATAGTGAAGTACACTCCAGATTTTAGCCTTTAAGTAACATCATTTCTTGTCCCATTTAATTTACACTGAGACAAGCTCTGGATCCTACAAGTCATTTCAAAATATACCTTGACTTATGAAGTGTTTATTTATCATGCTTAAATTGATACAGATTGTTTGCTACACAGATACAAGAGCAACAGTTTACAGTTGTTAAGTTACAAAAATAGTTATCACTCATTAGTATTTCTATACATATGTTGGGCTATTAAATGCATACTCTGTACAGTGGATGTCAACAGTGGTTGTTTATTTCCTTAAAGGAGAAAAAAAAGAGAATAAAAAATGGACAGATCCAAAATATTTACGTACCATTATACACTTGCATGTCTGACACTAAATATCCTTATCCATATAAATATATATATATAAAGTAGTTTTGGTGGCCAAAAGACATACGCTTCCAGGTTGTTAGACCCTTACCACAGCTGATGGAACAGGACAGTAGGAGTATCAGGATGTTACTGCCACCTAATGGTCTTCTGGCACTACATGGCCAAATTTACCTTAATTTTGGAATTTGAGAATTGTTCCAGACAAAATGCATTAAGCATTTTTTGTGTGTGTGCTATCCACTATCTTAAACAAAGCTTCCATTTTAAAGTGCAATAGGTTAGCTACAGAATTGCTACCAAAATTCAAGTGAAAAGAACTATACCAGAAACAAATCCCTTTCAAACATACAACACCAGTATTTGATAGCACATTAAAATTAAGGGGAAATTGCACATAAAATATTCATCACCTCAGAAGAAACCTTAAAAAGTATATTATACACAGAAAAGCAAACCAGAAAAGATGACAGTTCAACCCGGCCTAAACAGAATTTGTACTTTCTGATTTACAGTGGATAAGACTTGTCTTTTTGCAAAACCAAGAGAAAAATAAACATGAAATATGGGTCTAACATTATCTATCAATTCACATAGCTTGTTTACAAGCCATATTACCTTTCTGTGCTCCCTTAACATAAGGTTTCCAAGCACCACCACAGAAATCAATTCCAAGCTAAGTATTTCAGAAGAACCCTTAATTGCCTGTATGAAGAGATGGTAAAGCTCAGGCTTTCACATGGTTTGGTTAGTCAGAGGCCAACTGTTTTGCAGGGACAAGCTCACCCAGAGAACTGTGAGCCTTCGATCTTCCTGTACCTGAGGTCAGGATTCATCAATAGGACCCTGATTCCTGCATCTATTTCCCAGGTGAGAGCTCTTGGCCATTCAGCAAGGCTACCACAGACTGATGACATTTAACATTCACTTCCATTAGATTATCTCTGATAAGAGCAGAGATTAAGCATTGTGTTATTCTTCCCATATACATAGAAAAAAATTCACTCAATAGTCTTGTTTTCAAATTAGCTGATACAACATTTTATGCAACATAAGATCCCTAGATTTAAGCATACCTTCTGATCAATATACTTGCCAAGCTTCCAAAGGTCAGTTCAAGTGTTGCAATACTGCATTAAGAAACTTAAAATCCTGCCTAACACCTGCTCAAGCAGCATTCACCGCTGTCCCCCAAAACACTAAAACATTTCTGCCATTACAGTTACTTTAAATTGTTTATTTCTTTGAAGAAAATTTAACTTTAAACTTTTACAAAATATCTGCCTACAATTGTTCTCCTACAATTAAAGAAAAACTTGAGGTTTAAACATTTAGGTATAAAGGAAAAAAACAAACAAACAAGAAAACCCCATACTACTTGATGTTTGACTTCAGATATGACAGTTTCTAAACCATAATTCTCTCTCTACCCGTCAATACAAGTGAGAGTTACTTATGTCAGTTGGTTTAATAAGTTTCACTTCTCTGCTTCTTGTCAGCTCCTCACTATTTCCATCTTTAGTTACCTGGCAGACCTTTTCAGACTCTGAGTGTTTCATAAGTCACAGAACTAAACCTAATCTATGCTCCAGGAAGCAGTTTAGAACTGACTCTTCTGATCTACTTTTTCCTTGTGATCATGAGTCACAATAAAGAACATTTAAGTGTCCATATACAAGAATAATTTTTAACACATAATTGCAGTGAGTGAAGTCAACTATCCCAGTACCATAAGTTTTCCAAAGCCATATGCTAAGATCCTATCAGAAAAAAATTGACAAAACTAATGGTTTAGAATCCAATATACCAAGACAGATCTTTATGGAAATTCAGAATCAGAGCTCACAGCAGTTGCTAGAAAGAGCTTTTTGCATTTTTTTTTCCCTCTTATAAATTGGTCTTTTGTGATCGGTGCCTTTATTTTAAGTTAGGTTCATCTGAAAATATGTTGAAGAGTAAAAAAGATGTATATCTTCGCTGAAGTACTAGAGCATAAAAGATTGATAGTTGTAACAAGTTACTCAGCCTTCTTTTTTATAGTGTTTATTGCTAATTCATTTTATACAGCTTATTTCAAGGAGATGGGCAGCGTAAAAATCTGCAACATCAATTTAAAAATATAATTAGTCTCAACAGTAGCTTCTTCAAACCTCATTTTACTTAACACAGAAATATAGCTCACTTCATTAAAACATTTTGCACCTAACCCTCAAAACAAGTCAGTCTCCAGAAATAAAGGAATTTCAGACCTGAAGTTTATGATCATCATGTTTGGTAAGAGCCCCAGAAATTCTCACTGCGCAAACTACCCTACTGAAATTAGTTCTAAATTCAATTGTCAGTCCCATGGATTACACATCAGCTTTTATTCTTGCAGAAAGAATTGCTTTATCGTCACTTATGTAGCTTTGATGTAAATTGTGAAGGCTCAGGAGATTCAAACAAGTGCTGCCTATGAGCCTGCATGCTAAGCACACACTTCCCAATATATTAATACTGACAAGTAGTTTGGATACAGCATTTTCAGTGTTTTAATATGCTGTGTAGATTTACAATCGAGCTACCAAAACCCATGCTCAAACAGATTCCCACTTAATTCCTGCCTACGCCATCTTTGAGTTTAATAGCTGGAAAGCCTGGAATGACAGTGTCATGGTCTTTACCCATTCATTTTCTACAGTCTTGATTTTTTTCCTTTGTCAGTAATGATTTGGGGGATTGTAGCATTATTTTTCTTTTCTTATTTAAACACAACTTTAAACCCACATTCTCCTTATAACAACCCAGAGGTAGCAGGAAGAAGAGAAGCAAGAAGATGTCAGAGACCACAACTTGCACTTTCAAGTATGCTGTCACCCAGGAAGAGCTCTTTTGGCTTTCACAGACCACATCACCTCTAATCAAGTCTAGCAAACAAAAAGGGAGTACTTTGAAACAAAGAACTATTGCCACTGGTGTATTAGTAAGTTTTACACCCAACTACCTCAAAGCAATCTTGTTACTGAAGTAGCAGTACAGCAAGTTTCAAGAGTCAAAAAGAACTGAAATATAAATCTGTGAGTATCTGTTTCTCTAAAATGCTCATTAGTGACACATTTCACCTAAACAGACATATACATACACACAATTACTTTAAACTGATAAACCACACTGTAAGGAAAGGTCCCAATTGAGTTCAAGAATCTGATACTCCCCTTCTCCCTCCTGCCAAACAACTTGACAGAAGTGTCTACACGTAACAGAAAGCAAACAGAAGGGGAAAAACACAATGTTCAGCAAGTACATCTATATACATTTTGTACCGTGTACCTCCTTGCATTCCAAGTGAACAGATCACCAGATTTCCTATGCTTTACATGCGCATACTTTCCCCTTTACAGAGTACCAGTTCTGTTCAAATCATCGCCAGCAGCATCCGCAGCAGTCATTCCGCATTAACCAAAAAACAAAATAGGTAACATCATCAAAAACAAAGCTTTTAAGTAGCTGTTGCAGTAATATTTTAAACTCAGCACCCAATGGCAACAGTAAAAAACAAACAAAAAAATGAAAAAACAAACAAGAAAACCCACACAAACCACTACCACAATATCCGTTTCTATCACCTATAGATCTTGTCCGAAACAGACATTTGGCCACCTGAGCAGATTTCTCTACAGAAGGCCAGGTTTACTCATTAACACTTAGCAACAGAAGCTTCCAGAAGCCACATCCAGTTTGTCTACACTCTGCTGCTGTTGCCTGCTGCCCCCATCAAAAACAAACAAGAAATGGCAAAAGGAAAACAAACAAACAAAAATCCAGAGGCTGCCATTGATTAAATCAGTCACGAAAAGGAATCTGGCAAGGGACCTGACACTCATCATGCTTTAGGATCACAAGGGTGTCAGCTATACTTAAATAGTGGCCGATAGGCACGTAAAGACACTCATTTTAGAGTATCTAGAGATCCGAATAATCTCATGCTGCAGCCAGACTACACAGAGGACACTGTGCTAAGGGTCTCACTTGTCCAAGTTTCTTCATGGTACCAGAGTCTGACAAAAATTTATTTACACGGTTCAGTTGCAAGAACTATGAAGCTACCAAACTAGAAAGTTTATTACATATTATCTAGGATATATAGGCTCTAGAATTAAACATCCATATATCTTTAAAACTATATGCTTAAAAATGTTAAAGTTTCCATACTTACTGCATCATCACTACTATGTTATGCACTTTGATAGATAATAAAGTACAGAATTCACTACAAAAAAAGAAAATAGCTGTTAGATTCACACTTTATGCATGATAAGCAAAAAAGAACAAGTAATGTTACCTCAACTGGAAATTCTGCTGTGTATTTACATACTAGAATTGCTAGTGAGAGCAACTTGTTGAAAAACACCTCTCATGACTCTACTTGTCTACATCTACTTTTACATACGCAGTCTTAGAACAGCAACATACACAGCCTTATTAGACTTGCTTGTATTTAATGGTCACCAAAAGTGTACTGTAAACTAATATTCACTCAGTCCTTCAGAAAAAAAATATCCAGAAGTAACCTAAAGAATTGTTTGAAAAAATGTCAATATCACTTCTTTGCCGATAGTGAATTTTGCTATAAAGGCATGGCCATATTTCACTTTGTTACCAAACTCAACTGCAAACCTAGACAAAAGATAAGCATTACGTCTACTTCAGCATCCTTTCGCATAAAAACATGTAATTTCCATCAAAAAGAAGTTTTAAGTGTTATTTTTGCTTCAAAAAATATCAGGAAACCCAGGAAGGCCCTAATTTTTGCACTGATCCACTTCTTTATTAGAGCAAAGTGACCATTAACTGCAGAAAGTTCGAATTCAGAGTTACTGTTTTCTTGTACAATTTGCTAAAAAAGAAATCTTGTTTCTCCAAATGCCACATTTTCTGACATGCAGCTACATACTGTTGGGACACAAAACCTGACCTAAGTGTATGGAATGTGTTCAAATCAACTGCTCTTGATCACCAGTTTATCAGATCCTGAATGAAAGGCACATAAACTGTGTGACAAGAGCATGAGCCACCCCCAACATATGCATGCCACTGCATTGTGCTTCCCACCAGCAAAACCAAAAATACAGGGAAAAACTTAACACAGGTGATGAGGATTTATGTAAAAATACAAATAAAATGCTATTATAATAAGAGTTGTCTGTCATTACTATAGAGAAGCCCAGCAACACATTTTGAATCTTGTACTGCTAGGAATTAATATCTGGACTATAGTGTGAAATATTCCCAGTTACTGTGGTTTTATCCTGAATACTGACCACCTGCATCATAACGTAAAGCCCGTGTGGTTCCAACAGCACAGCTTGGCCAACTAGCAGAGATAGGGTACTAGGGTGTCAGCCTGAAGTCCAGATTATCTGGAAATAAAGCCATTTCTATACACCACAAAATATAGCTAGAAAAGCACATTAAACAAAGGCCAACTTCTGCATAGAACGAGCTCTCCAAAAATAAATGAACAGAAATGCCCTGTATGATGCTGGTTTCATCATACTGCTGAACCCAGGTCATGGCACACGAGCTCTCCAAGATCTCCTGCACTTGACTCTAGTCAGTTTTTAAGGACATCTCTGCAGTATCCAAATAACTACTTGGTTATGCACAAGTACTTAAACTGGAGAAACAATGAAATTCATACAGTATCATGATCCACTGCACATCTCAAACCTTAGACCAAACCAGCAACTCCCTCCTATTTAGCTCCAGATATTGTAAATAGCAATGAGGCAGGAGAAAAAACAGAAACAAAAACCCACAAAACTCAACAACAAATAAAAAGCCTTGATAAGAGCAGCTATAAGATAAGAGAGGCTATGTTGGCTAGATATTCAGACTAAAGAAGCTTGCTAACTATCTCTACTTCTACGTTATGAAAACAGTCTTCCAAAACTTGCCATAGAGTGAAAACGGGCAGGAGTCTGTCACAGCAAAGTTAACTACCAACAGGTCAAGGATGCCAACTAGAACCAATGCTTAATATAGCAGAAAATTGGGAAAAAATAAAAATTACAATACTAAAACAGAATTAAGAATGAGATACCAAAAATTTTAAGCATCTCATAGTTAATGAGTGCTTCTCACAATTACCAGGATCTTACAGCATTTCCCTGTTCAAGGAAGTAGATCTTTAACTGACACAACATCCCGCAGGAATGGATCTCTTATTACCAGTTATCTATGCTTTGTGTCACTTTGCTGAAAGGGAAAGTGCCTTCACATGCCTACAAGTCATCATGCGTTAGGCTACTTTTCCAGTAATGCTCACAACCCCTTTTGCTTTCCTGAAGGAGGTGAAGTCCTCGTTACAAACTCCCAGGCCAGAGAGATGCCAGGTTCCCCACCTCTGCTCCAAGCACCAGCTACCTGCAAGCTCAACCAGCTTGCACACTATTGCCAAGACTGCAGCTCCCAGACTGACCTGCCTAAAACCCCAGCAGTTCAAGCCACAAACGGAGCTTTGGACTGTCTGCATGCCTCTACACATGCAAGTGTACACATACAAGCTGGCAGCTAATTTAATTTGGTACTTAATTTATTCTAGCACTTCAAAGCTGTAAGATTCTCTCTCATGCCAAAGGCGGGTAGCATCCACTGGAACTGCATGCAGATCTTAAGTTTCAATAGTTAATGAACTTTAAATCTGAACTTAAGTCTTACTTTTCAGAGTAAGAGAACTTTTACTTACATCACCACAACATACCCAGTAAATAATCTGGGAGTCCAAGATTTCCCGAAGTTATGAACAAAACAGCTTAAATAAGGACTGGCTGTATACACTGCTTACCATCATACACAGTCTGAAGAGAAGACATGAATAAGCCAGTTCCCTCTACCATCAGAAAAGTTTAAGAAAGCTGTTAGGTGTATTGCTCTAATGCAATTCTCTACACCCGTCCCCTAATGGAGCTGGTGCTACCACTCAGCAGTAAGTCATCATACAACACTACTTAAACAACTGTGGTTTACCCATTTTTCAGTACTATTAGCTCCTAGCACACAAAATACCACATGGTATCTTTGTGACTGCCTTTTCCAGATCAGATGAAATCAAGTTTTTATTAGCACCACCATTATTTGTAATAAATACAGGCAATATTTAGAGGTCAGCACACTTACAACATGTAGCTCATTTCATCTTGTATGACTGTGGGCACCATATAGTCAATCTAAAAGAAATAAAGAAACACCTGAGTGAATTTAGATATGGACAAGATCAGCACAGACTCAACTGTGAAAGCATACTCTTATTTACCTGTTTCATATCCAGAGGGCCAATGTTGGTGATGTTGTTTAGCCGTGCTTTGCCAATAACTGTTTTTGAAAACTGAACTTGGGCTGTGATGTTTGCCACTTCAACTGAATAATAATTGTTGTTTGTTATATTTAGCGTGTTCTAAAAAACAAACAAAAAACAAAAACAAAACAAAAGTAATGCTTTAAGAAGTATCCATCCCATGTATCCTAGCATGCATATTTTTGAAAATTCAGTGTAATTCCTAAAATTACATTATACAAGTATATTTTCTAGCCTTCTAGGAGTGTTTTTTTGTTTTTTTTTGTTTTGTTTTGTTTTTTTTAAAAAAGCTTGGGTGGCAGAGAGGGCAAAGGGTAGGAAAGAAGAAGGTTTGAGAAGGAAACAGACTAAACACATTTTAAAAGTGAAAGGATGAAAGGATGCTTGACCAGCTATCTCTTGAGACTGCAATAACTCAGGTTTTAGACATTTTTGCATTTTCTACCAACCACCATAATAGTTCAGACTGTGTGACCCAGTATTTTGTCTTCAATGGGTGGTGGCAAGTAGAAGTACATGAAAGGGCTAGAATTAAGCATGCAAAGTATATAAAGATGCAAATCCTGTTTCGCTCCCCACAAGCACTCTGCCAACTTCTGTATTATTTCTAACAGAGAAGACTCCAACCCAACTTGTAAGCAACTTGTCTGCTGCAGGGGCGCAGCTCAGACAACTGCTTCTCCAGTCTCGCCTTGAACCCGATTAAGCTTTCTGCACTAACAATATTCTTTTGCATGGAGCTCTATATGTTTCTCATCCACTGCATGAAAAAAAGAAGTTGTGGCTTCTTGTTCACATTTCCCCCCAGCAGTAACCACAGGAGGCAGGAACCAGACCACTTTAAATACTTCATGCCATTCAAAGTTACTAGGACTAGTTACTTAGCACTGCAAAATTATCACCTCACCACTTATCCCCTTTCATAGGCTTGTTTGTGAATATGTTGAACAGCCCAGACTTGTACAATTTCACTGGGGACCCTTCTCCAACTGTGAGTAGTGATCATTTCCTCATATCCTCGATTATTCTTTTCATTCCTCTTTTGCCGTGGTGACTTTGTTATCTTTAAGGGCATTAATAATGAACTCTGTCAAAAGTTATTTTTCTGAAGCAGCAATCTGTTTTTCTTTTCTTTCTTTCTCTTTTTTTTAAAAAAACAAACAAACAAAAACCCCAAAAAACAATTATCTTATTCCCCAAATAAGGCAAAAAACTCCAAATCACTTTTCCACTTATGATGCAACAGGAGCCTACAGCTACATCTCCATCAGCTGTACACAAAAGCAGCAGCCACAGCAAATCCAGTTACAATGACCAGTTTGAAAAATGTATCTGCCTAACTATCTTAACACAATTAAGCTCAACAGCCCCAACTTTCTACCCGCACACGTCCCAAGAGATATTACTAAACCACTTTATCCATTATAAACATGCAAACAGGTATATAATCTTACCGTAATATTAAGATATATCACACGTCTACTTTGCTCATAAGTGACATATACCGACTTCACGCCAATGTATTCGACGTCAATTGAGCGAGGAAACAAGAAAAACACAGCCAGCCCAGAAAGCAGCAAACATACAATCACAGAAGCAGTCACATAGAGTTTTCTGGGAGAAAAAAAAAGTACATTTTATAGTCCAAAATGCATTAAACAAGAACAAGCATGTTGTTTTCTTTGTTAGTGATAATAAGCATAACTAGTCACTGAACTGCACCAGTCTATTCCAGTTGAATATGCAACTATCCTAACACTCACAACCTGTTGAGGAAAAGGCAGGGAGGGGAGGAGTGCTTTAAGCCCTAAGCACTTCTTTTATATTTTTGTTTTTACAGACCTCTTATCATTCAACATGATTCTTAAGCAGAATCCAAAACAAAACCAGAAAGAATTAAGTTTTATTCCATGCCTCTGACAGTATTCTCTCTCATGCAATCCTCCTGCCCCTGCCCCGGAAAGAATTAACAAATTGCTTTAACCTCTGCTAAGGACGAGCCAAGTCACAATTAACCTTCTGTAAGTAAAAGGGAAAGTTGTGTATGAAGGCTCCACCACATCTCCAGTTTTACTCAAAATTAGGAACAGTAAGGGAATAATTTTTCAAATTGGCATATTATTCCTGGATCATAAATCTAATGTATAACATTTTTGTTCCCTCCCTGCCCCCCACCTTATTTCCATAGATACTAGAGCAAAATCTAAACATTCAGAGCCAAAACATTTTGCCAAAACCAACAATGATATGTTTCAGCACTGTAGTAGTGGTCCAAGGAAGTTATTGCTTTATTGAGATATAAATTTGACAACAAAGATGTACCTGCTTAAATCAATTAAGACTGAAAACAAATTCCACAATTATTGTAGATATTTAGATAAATATGGAGAGATCATACAAAATTGGTAGCTTCAGACTTCTTATGTATTAAATACCTGTGCCTGCCCACTTCATAACTCAAGAGTTAAAAGCTAAGACCAATATTTTTCAGCAGGGTTCTTTATATCGAATAATATAAGAAAACATTTCAGTGATTTTTCTTTCTTTAAACACACCCCTATCTTCTTAAGTTGATATGTTTTAACTAGAAGAGAGGAATTAAGTAGCTTCACGTAACACAAGCAGCCATTAACTTACGTTCTTCTTGGCCTCAGTCTCTGATCACTGTATGGAATTAAAGCTACAAGCTGATTTTCTTGTCCTAGAAGCAAAAACACTTCTTTTTTCAGAATGTAAATACACCAAAAAAATATTGTTACTTCAAACAAGAAACTACCAATTCAAAACATTTCCATTTCTCATTATAACTTATGAGCAACATGCATTTTTAATAGTGCAAGGTTGTAAATAAATTACATTTGTTTAAATATTACACCTAAAAATCCTCCAGTTGAAGAAATAAGCTTGTGAGGTTATTATGAGCTTTTTGAGAAATCCCAATACCACAGCATTTTAACTATCATCACTATCATGACGTGAACCTTGCCATTATAATAATCAAGTATTTCAAATTAGCAAGCAAATAAGACATAGACTTATTTGTCTATAGTCTTTCAACCAAGATATTTAATTGCATGTTTTCCCCTCCACACACACTGCAAAGTTTCTGAATTTGGCAGAGGCACTCAGATGACACGGTAGTTTAACAGCCTAGATACAAAGTCTATTCTCATCTCATGGTTGCCACTGTTAAAGTACCCAGTGTGCCCTGCCCCTTATTCCTAGAAGTGGCAGAATTATTTGAGGCTGAATTGCAGACTACAGCAAATCCTACTGCCACTGATACACATGCAAAGGGACAGTGTGTGTCGCCCTACCTCACATTTAACTGAAGTGGTTCAGCTAAAAAAAAAAAAAAAAGCCACAGGCTGATGGGAAAAAGAGAAGCTACAAGCAGCATCACTACCCAAAAGTTCCTTCTAAGTCAGTGCTACCTGGTGTATTAATATGCTAAAGGAAATATCACTTCAAAAAAGGGCTTATTAAAAATTCTTTTCAGTAGTACACTCACTAAGTAGTATACGTACTACATGCATAGAAATACAAATAAGAACTTAAACAACATACAGCTTGACTTGCGCTACTCTAATGAATAAATCTAAAATAGTGTCTGACTATTAAGAGAATTTTTTTTCTCCCTTTGCCACTTTCCTCCATTCCTACCCTCCCCACAAAAAGTAGAGTTACTGCAGAAAAGACTTGGCAAGGAAGCAGTGACCTCTTACTGCTCTTCCTAAGACACTGAAACCAAAACCAAGTAAAATCCTAACATAGAGAAATCGGTTCATTTTCCCAAGCTACAGTCCAATATCAGTTGCAAAAACCTTTATAACTAAGGTTGACAAGTCGACTTTCGGATACCTCAGCAACCGACCAATCAAGTTTCCCGTTCTCCCTTTGAAACAAACAGGATCTTGAAGAGTACACAAAGACATGACACTCATCTTGCAACTTAGAAGGGCTGAGTCTTGCCAAATGAGAACTTGAAGTAACAATGCCTTAAAGCTACAGCCTTAAACTAAAAATATGCATTATTATTATTAGGGTTTATTTTTCAGTACATTTCCTTAAATGCCAGGAAACTTTGACAACTCTAACTTTTGTTTAAAACAAAGCTGTACTGATTTTTTTTTTTTTTTTTTAAAAAGCCAACAACAAAAAGAGAATTTTCCCCATGACAGCTAAAAATAGGAGAATTTTCAGGAGAATTTTCAGTTGTATTTTCCAAGCAAAGTTTTCTGGAGCTTGGTGCTCAATATATGGCTTTAAACAAGAGATTCTCCTCCCAGCATGAACAATATCCAGCATTATTTTCAGAACGACAACTTTAAAAACTTTAATTGGTATATTACTTCCATTAGCCATAAGTCTTTTCTCTCCTCTCACCCCAGCAATACCTATTTGCAGCCATTTCTGCAAATGGTTTTAAACTGGGAATTCAAAGAGATGTATTATGAAGTCTCAAAAATAAAGGCTTTCAAATTCAATTTGGGAGAACTAGTGTTAATGCTACATAACCCTGAGATGAATAGAATGCTGGAACAGCAATTTTATGTTGATTACAGTGTAATCATAACAAAATACTTAGTGCTAAATTCAAGAAGGTAAAGAAACACTTTGACTCTACTAGCAGAGGCATCTGTTAATATTATAGTTACAACTACAAGGAGTTAAGAGATAATTTTATGAGGGGGTGTGTGTGTATATATATACACACATTTTGAATGTATATATATTCAGGAGAGAAAATAAAGCAGCTTACCACGGGGAATTCTTCCTGTTCCTTGACAAGTAGGGCAGGTTACACTGTCTCTCCCTGTAAATTCCACATATGGGAACTGTGACACATCTCCGCAGCGCCCGTCCTCACTGTGGGATTCCGAGTGAACTAAGCCATTCCTCATGTTATCAGATCCGGCATCTCCATTGTAGCCGTCCTCCTTACACGTGTGCATAGGCAGGTGGGAAAGGGACTTTCCCATGGCTAAAACAGAAGTCAGAAGAAAGTTTTTATGGAGAAGAATTCAGACACGGTGTGCGATTACTCGGACAAGACTCCTATGGCCTTGCATCCTTCCTGTTCAGATGCCTTATGTTTTGCAAAGTTTTAAGGTTTAGACCTTAAAGGTTTAAATCTAAAACAGATTAGGGGAGGCCTCTAACAGATCATAGTAAAAGTGCTGTTAAAAGGATGCAACTCTAGCACTGTGTTTCTTAAAGAGATGATTATACCACACAAACTTTCAGAAAATATGTTGATCTCTGTAGAAAAGTGCGAGATGTACTAGCTCTGGAAAACAAGTCCACAATTTTCACTGGATCCTACATACACTACAGATCCTAATACATTTTTTAGGCTAAGCTTGTTTATCCAAACACATATTTGTTGAGCAGCTTGTCATGTGCAAGCTAAAAGTATGATATTTAAATAGATCCTTTACTTCATCCCTAGAGACGGTTAATTTACAGTAAACAAGGGGAAAAAAATAAAAATAAAAAGATGCCTGCAATATGTAGCATTACTGTTTGTAAACAGAGCAGAAGCAGTTTTTTTTTTCCTCTTTATTAAAACAGCTCTTAGGCCATATCAGTGAAACTACCTTGAATCACAGAACTCCTGAAAATAAAATAACAAAGAGATCCAAGTAGTAACTTTTCCAGATTTCCAGAAACAAGAGCCAGTATTTCAAATCAATCTAGACAGAACAGAAAGATGGCAATAGAACAGGAGAACAACACTGATCCAATATAGTGCAAAAAAGGGTAGGTGGATGTAGATGAGGAAAAATAAATTACCAAATGGCTGCATCAGTTGAAACAATCACACAGCACTTTATTCATTTCTGTAAATATTTTCATAACCAAGTTTTGGTCAAAACACTTGTGAGAAGGAAAATTACATGTATATTTGTACTGCTACAGCCATTTTGAAACTCTCCAAGTTTGGGAGCCATTCAGCAGCAAAAACACAACACGAACCTGCTCTTAGCTAAAAGCATCAAGCATAACACATCTAACAGGTTCTCTAAGCAATTGGTAAAAACCATTATCTGCTGAAACACCATCACACAGACCATCTAAATAAGCAGTAATATTGTACCTATACAGGCCCTCTGTGGTTAGTTTTACAGTTAGTTTTACCAGAGACAAAAGAGCAGACAAACTTTTGTGCCCTTTTAAAAAGTTTTTTGGTTGTTTGTTTTTGGGCTTTTTTTTTTTTTTAAGCAGAAACTAGGCTTTCTAAACAGCTGCTACCAATTAGACCACGCATATTTTCTGCTTTCTGTTATTCTCCGTGTAGCTGTAATACAGCCTTTAAGCTACAGACCTCAAATATTACAGCTTAGGCAACAGCTGCCAGAGTTACAGGCTGAGCATGAGGACCAGCCCCTGCTCCTTCTGGGCATCCACGGCACTTAGCCGGCCTGCTCTGCTGATGGCACACTCGGGCTACACCTACATTAACAAGTAAACATGGAAAACACAAGCACACTGCAGAAATAAATAGTTGTGAGGAGTCAACACCATGTAACACAAATTTGTGGATGTCATTTTGTGCTAGCTACTAACTGAACAGCCTGTAGCAACCAAGGAGCACATTCTGGTTTGAGTTTCCTCCAAATACAGCTCAGACACTCCCAGAACACAACAGGATATAAACCAAAATGCAGCAAGTGAGGACAAGTGGGCCCCTGGCTTGAAGCATTACTGCAGGTAGAGCCCCCAGTGCCAGCTGTACTTGGGTCCCAGTAATTAGGGCTAATTATCCACCCTCTCCTGCCAGAGTGACTTAAGACATGCACATCTCTGCTTACAGATGAGGAAACGCTGGTAACAAGCTTAAAAAAGTCTCTCTCTCCAACCCAGTGCACAAAGAAAAGACAAACAAACAAACAGCTCAGCCCTTATCACAGCTGACCAAAGTTCAGGAACACCTTGTTCTTTTGTCTGGGGTTGTCATGCTGGACACCAACACTTTGGAAAAAGTGCCACTTGTTAATTTAACAACCCCTCTGCCCTGGGCTTTGGTGGAGTCTCACCCACAGCTAAGGCGCAAGCTTCATCCGCTTCACCTTGCCTCGAGCACCCTCGAGCCCAGAGCCTTTCGGGCAGAGCCTGGTGCCCCAAAACACACTGGGAAAAGGCGCTTTTGAGTCTGGTGCCACGAGGCAGCTGCAGCGTTTCCCGGCGATAAGGAGGCAGCAAAAGCAACACACCCTGAGCACAGCCACATCCCGACTGTGAAAATCACCTTCCGTTTGCAAAGTCGGTGAAATTTCACAGAGTTAAAATAAACTGCTGCAACTTCTCCAAAAGAAAGGCCAGGGTGGCACTCGACTACTTGAAAGCGCCTATAAAGTTGAGTTTAGAAGGGTATTTCTTCTTCAAAATAACATGAGAAGTTTTTATTACGGCTGGTGTTTCCCCGGCGTGACGATCACCTGCTCTATCAGCTGCGCATTAGTCACCGCACCGCAAGTCACCGCAAGCTGCTCCGGAGCGGAGGGAGCAGGAAGAGCCGGCTGCTCCCTCTCCTGGTACCCCTACCGGGCCATCCCTCAACCGGTGCCTCCACAACCGAGAAAACCGCGGATCTGGGGGTTTCTTTTCCCCCCTAAAAAAAACTCGGCCTGTAGAGCCCCAACAGCCGTGCCGAGAACATGGCGACG